TTGAACCTCCGACAACATTTGACATAAAGGAACACTACTTCCTTCTGAAGATACGCGCCGCGACGCTTCGACTCTGCGCCAGTGTGAGTTGAGCCTAAAGAGAATATATCTGCCACCCTTCGAGCAGTAGATAGGATATTCATCGTATTTATTGACTGAAGAAAATAAATAAAAAATAAATTAATAAATACTCACAAGAGTAATTTCACAAAAAATAATTGTATATCAATTCAATAAAAATTTAATTAATACAGTGAATAGCGACATCTCTCGCCAGGACTGGTAGCTGTAAAGGTACTAACTGGGTGATAAATCTGTAATAGATTTCTCATAGATGGCGCTACGACTAAAAAGTCGTTGAAAGACCAAGTACAAAGACACGACGCAAGCACATAGAAAAATTCGTGAGGTCCGTTGGTTCGTTCCGTGGCTTAGTTGGTATAGCGTCTGCACGGTATGCAAGAAGACGTCGGTTCGAATCCGACCGGATCGAAGGAATTTTTTCTGAGTGTTTTTTCTGAGTGTTCGATCTTTGTATTAATAATTATAACAAACTAGTGGAGTAATTTCACAAAAAATAATTGAATATCAATTCAATAAAAATTTAATTAATAAATACTCATAAAAACTCATACATTAAAAGAAAGACATTTCCACGATTACGATTTCTAACCACGATTACGTAATATTTAACGTTATCATGTTGTATTTTAACAGTTTGTAATAATGAATATGCACACATTTGTCGTTGATCTGGAGATTATATTGTTGACATATTTACTTTTTGTAGTAAATATTGAGTTAACATCAATGTTGAGGCAAAATATTGTTCTTGAACACAATCCGTATCTAACTGGGTTGCTTTTACAATAACTCATTGAATCGATCGTCAATAGCGCCGGCGAAAGTGCCAATGTCGTGTTCGCATATAAAGAAGCACCGTACGTAGCAGCTCATATCGTTGAGGCCGCCATTATAGAACATGCTGCCGCATACTTCTGTGCCCCCCGCATTGTCCGGTTGACCTCCGCCCCATTTTGAGTAACCACTGTCGTGGAGAGGTACCCCTGAAAATTAAAAATCCGCAATTAAATAGAGGATTTATAAAAAGGCAACAACAAAAATGTACGACTTTGTAATTTGAATTTTCTTGGTCCGATTTTCTGGTTAGTGAATTCCTTGCTACTCTGGTACTTATAGTACTGGTGTGGTTGACTGGCACATTGTCGTTATTTACAACAAATGTACAACCTCACCAAAATATTTTATTTAACTAAATCTAATCGAAGTCTGATGGCGAGATATTTGTTTAAATATTTGGAATACAGACTAAGAGGAAATTTCACTAGCAAGAGGCATTTGGCAACTGCGACCTCATCGAAAGCCTGGCCGTGTTGGGCGTCAATCAATTAAATTTCCATCAGAAATTCAATCAGATTTCAATTGAATTGATTTTAATTGCAATTAATTTTTTTGGTTGTTCTAAGAAACAATTGAAACTAACTATTAAAACCGAAAGTACCGAATAAGTGTCATTATGAATATGGGTTAGGAGTCGGTCAGGTAGGGATAGGGGGTGGGTTAGAGGCGTGGGTTAAGGGGTGGGTTAGGTGGGTTAGGGGGTGGGCTAGGTGGGTTAGGGGGACCGACCCCCCTGACCGACCCCTGACCGACCCCCTGACCGACCCCCTGACCGACACCCTGACCGACCCCCTGACCGACACCCTGACCGACCCCCTGACCGACCCCCATATGCCCTATAAATTTATCATGATTGTCGTTTTAATTGTTAATTGTTAATCTAAAACATTGAAAAGAATGAAAATTGATTCATTGTTAATTGTAGATATACGCGATTAACGATTGATCAAATGTTAGTTGCGAGAACCGCAATTAACAATTAATTAACAACAACACTGAGCCTTGGTTTGATGGTGCGCGTCACATTCCACTACTTAAATTTTATCACTTGATAGTTATCAAAGCCTCACCCCTCTGCGGATATTGTAAAGGAATAGAATATCTGATCCATCTGTTGGTGGAGTGTAATCATACTAGGGCTGCAAGATTACGGTTTGGAATTGAGGAGATTGGACGTAATAAAAACATAAATATTGTTCTGCGAGTCCACAGACATAGTATATCTAGATAGACGCCGCTAGTACAGCAATTTGTATGAAAACCAAGCGTGCCACAGTTTTTGTATGACGTATGACGTCACACGAACAATTTAGTGATGGAAACCTCCTTCCGCTCGCTCTAAATCGATGGATTGAACGGAATACGCGTAAATACGCGTATCCCATTCAATTTTAATTGATTCTAAGTAGAATAATTTTTGTTTAAGTATTTGTTGATTACAAGTAGTCGTAATATTAATATAGTAGAAAAATGCTAGAATAAGATAGTTAAGTCCTTTATTTTACTTGTTTATAAAAAATGTTGATTACTTTAAAAAAATGAGCTTTTATTTTTAATCGACTTCAAATATTAAAATTATTGTCCTTCCAATAAAATGAGCTTATTATATAACATCTTTTTGTAATAGAAGATCTTATCGATTAACTTAAATAATGAAAACGCACGTAATTATATGAACTTGCGACTGCCCTAATTAATTTTACTAGATGGTTTTCTGTTGGTAATTGATCAAATTGATGAATGGCAAGACAAATGAAAATGTTACTGCTGACAAAATATGGTAAAATGTTATTAATCAGAAGAGGTTTACTTAATGATAACCTCGTGTGAAATTTTTGTGGTTTGTTTATTATTTCTCGGATTTCTAACTCTGCTGCTCTGCATATTTGGATAACATCTTAGGTGGGATAAACTAGACCACCTTCGTCCTCGAAAGCAACGAACTCATACGTATGACCAACTCCAGGTTTTTGTAAAGACAGCGCACTGTTAATTCTTTGCATTATATATTATTTTGTATTACTCGTGCTACATATCCGGCGATGTATATAATTATTTGCTCACTATATTCGGACATTCGAGGTAACGTGCGCAAAAATTATCGAAATTACAGATACCTACAACTGATAATAGATACTACAAAACTGAAAAATAAAACGAAACGTTACTAAACGTTATAACAAAAGAGTTATAGAATATTTTTATAATATTGCTAAGGTCATAATAATTTTCGTCCCTTAGTTCAAAATCGATCAGAATCGAGAACAGTGTTGCCTAACGTATACATCACTAAATGTTAAATATGGCCAAAGAAGTGTAGAAGCGGCCATACCACGAAACGGGATGCATTATACAAAAAGTGCGTTCATTCGATTTTCATGGCGTATCCTTTGTTAGGATCACTAATATATCGCTCCAAGTAAAAGCCGCAATGTATTACAAATCATGAGGCGCACACTCGGCTGCATATTTGTTTTCTCGAAATTCATACAAGACCAAAATAACTGTTTTTAAAATAAATTATGCATCTTCTGCCTACAAATCACTTGCCCGTGAAAGGAAACGTCCCTGTTTACCCGTTTACCCACAGTTATGATGCTTTTGCAGTTTATAATGGAACAATTATGCATTTTACGCGTTTTCGACTGGTGTTTATCAACGATAACGGTCGAGCGCGTTCTGAAGTGTAGCAACGACTAGTAAGTGAATTTCACTTACTTTGGGCGCGCGAAGTGCGTACACTTGCGGCGTCTATCTAGATATATGTCTATGTGCGAGACCCTTCACAAAAGGAATTAAAAACATCTATACTTACGTAAGCTATTGCATAAAAATCCAAAAATACCTAACTGACCACGCAATTTGAGATTTCCTTTTAGGCCGTACAGTATAGTGTTAAAGGCCTTGTTGTAAATAAAGAGAGAAAAATAAATCTAATCGAGTCATAATTAATTTTATGAAATTTTCTTTAAGCTGCTCTACAAAAATTAAAACTAAAGATAATAAGGTACCTTTAATGGTTTTCCACCCATCTGAATCTTTGTTATGGAAGCCCAAATGAACAGCACCAGCTAAGTAATCCCCATAAACCTTATCCTTTGGCGCATCAGCCGTCATTTGTACCAGATGGTCAGCTTCCACTTGACTTTCAATTATGGCAAGGTACGACTGCTCCGCACTACAAGTAGTAATTGCATCAGTCCAATTCTTCGGGTTCAAATGGAACTTGTAGCATTTTCCCAATTTTTGGTTAAATATGTAATCTGAAATGTTTGGTGTATAGTAAATATAAAGTTATTTTATGATATACTGCGAATGGGGATGTAGAGTCTTTGCTACAATGAATCATATTATAATTCGATAAATCGTAATGAAACTAGTGTCATCTCGGTTTTTTTTAATGGAAATTACCACCTAAATTAAATACAGTAACAATAAAACAAGAAGAGGTCTTCACTTGGTAATCATCTCATCATCCTCCTTGAACCCTCCGAGCGCTGATCCTCACTACATACGTGGGTATTTAGAACCATAGTTTATAATTAGTACTAATATTATTTTAATTTAATTTCATTGGTATATGCACTTAGTGTTATAAACATATTATTGTGACCATTGTGACCATTCAACGTAATAGCACTAATGTAAGTTGAAAGATATTAAAGAAAGAACTAATTACATGTAATTCTTAGTCAACTAAGAAATTTTATTTCTTTTACTGACTGAAGCCATGGCTGCCTAATGGTTTGACTCCAGGTTCGCGCCTCTGAGTTTTTCGGAATTCATGTGCGAAATTAAATATGAAATTTACCATTTTCGGTATAGGAAAACCTCATGTTGAAACCAGCACGTCGAAGAAGGTTCACGGAAAACGTCAGAAGTCCCCAACCCGCATTGGTCCAACATGTCGGACTTTTGCCTAAACCTTCGCCTTAGAGGAGACCCGTACCCAGCAGCGCGTAAATGGGTTGATGTTGTTACTAGCTTGGGACAGTATAAGCGTTCGTGTTCAAGAGTTGAAAAATTGACTGTTACATACTTCTAAGCTTATATTGTTTTACAGAATTTAACATACCTTTGTTAGGCATATCACAGTCTTTGTTCCATTCGAGATCGGCTAAGGCTTTCTTGCATATGAAAGGATATTTTCTATCACAGCGATCGTCGTTTAATTTTCCTTCTTTGTTCAAGGTAACACAGCCTTCCATTCCATCCGCGTCGTTAGGTTCTCCCGGCGCCCAGCGGTTGTATACGTCTTCTACTGGATTACCTGGAGAAATTGTAGAGGATTGATCAGCTTCAGATTTTCTTACTCTTAGTATAGTGAATCGCAACAGTCGCTGCAAATCTCTTTTGTATATATATATATATATATATATATATATATATATTTCATAGTCTCTTTAAGTTTTCGTTTTCTATTTAAATTCTAAATTTAAATGTGATTGTTTTAAAAACAATAAGATTTAAATTTACAATTTTAGCGCCTTTTCTTTGCTATTGTTTCTGTGTTTTGGATTGATAACTGTACGTGTTTGTAATAAATTAATAAACTGTAAGTAGATTTACCTTGGTCTAGCTCACTCTTTGTTAGCACCCACCCGAACCTATTGATACAGTCCGCTATACTTATTATTGTGAGCGTGTAAAAGTTCAATGTGTCTTGGTGACCTCACAAGACACCAAACAAACTGATCATGCCAAAATCCAAAATGGAAATGTATAGACCCGGTTCCCTAGCCATATCAATCAAAGTCTTTAATAAAATACCCGAAAATATCAAATCCGAACTTATTTACGTCGTCGTTTGTAAATAAAATATAACTATAATAAACTAAAAGAACTGCTAATACATAAAACTTATTATACAATTCAATTAATTGATCTTTCAGAGGACCTTCTTAACAAATTGGAGCAGCTTCAAAATCAATGTATTTTTATTTTTTTTTTAACGCTCTCAATCAACATAGCCCCGCACTAGGGAAACCCTGTGTCGCGGGTGCCATGGACACACACATAGACAACCACAAATTACACCCAAACTCACGAGAGAAATTAATGTAGGCCATACAAATATTTCTCCCGGCCCGGGAATCGAACCTGGGACCTCTGCGTGGCAGTCCGGCATGGTAACCGTTCGGCCACGGAGGCAGTTCATATTAGATTTATGTTCGGCTTGAAAAAGTAGGATCACATTTCCAGATTCAGAGATGAGCTGAAATTGCTGTAATTTTTACAGCCCTCGTTTTATGTTTTCTATATAAAATTATTTTCCATCTCTCCTCCCCTAGTTATCTTCGTGAGCATTTCCAATACCGTCTGGCTACGGGTGACCGCCTGCGTTCAGGTACTAATTTTTCCCTTGTCATTCCACAACACAGTTCGCAAAAATATAATGAATCGTTCACAGTGAATGCTGCTCGTATGTGGCACCTCCTTCGGTCAGACAGTCACCTTCGGTTCGGGCTTTCAGTGGTGCCCTTTTGAAATCTTGGGATTATTCAGACTCCTCATGTCAGAGCTTATAAAATATTTGTTTGAATTTCACATATTTATTTATTGTCTTATTTTATACATTCATTTTACTATGTATTTTATATGTTTTAATAGTATGTATTCGTATGACCTTTTGATATAATAAATGTATTCTTGTAATTATTTTGTATGTAGCATTAAATTTAATGATTTTTTTTAGATTTTATTGCGAACTCAGGAGGCAACTTTCCTTTCAATTATTTAAAGATTAGCTGTACAATAAAGTGTTTACATACATACCTACAATTGGTGAACTCTTAAATAACAAAACAACAAATAATTACATAAATAACAATAACAATTCACTTTAAACATTATTTCATGACATGACATACATAGTTTTTTCTGTTTATATAATAATCAACTGCTTTTGATATATATATCTTTACTTAATTTTTATCACGTTTTTGACGTAATAATATTTTAATGTGATGACATTCGTTAACATTATTTACTTTTTGTTTTTGTCTTATTTTGTCTTCAAACATTATTTTATCCAATTATGACCAGTGAATTATAAATTAAATTGTATCAGCTTGACGTTACTATATTATGCACTTTTTAATTGTAATTATTTTAATTAATATTTTATATTACTTTTAATATATTTCATAAGTGAAATAATTAATGACATAATATAATGTACGAAATTAATGATTAATTAGGTTAAAGTTATTGTAGTGCTCTTACAGGATTCATGTACTGGAATCTGTTATGTAACACCTTTGTTAATCCACTTATAAACTAATTATATTTAATAATAATAATAATTATTATTATTAATTATGAATTATGAACATTGAATCATTATTTTAACTTTGTACTGGTAAACTATTGACACGTAGGTATGTTCGTATAGTTTACGAAGAGGTAGCTAATTATATACTTGTATATTATGACTTATATGTTATGAATCATAAACAAACGTAAATGGGTAAGGAAATTCAACATGCGTAGACAAATGAGTTCTTATGATTGTGCATTGGGTTAGTAATTAAATGTTAATTTGTGCATAAGGAAAATTATATATAATATTACATTAAATGAATTACCAAATTGAGGACGTCCTAAAAGACGGTCCAGGTCAAGAGTAGCCTTAACCAATGGGCGTGTATGAAAGTATTGCTTGTGTTAAGGCGAAATTTACGTGTCAGGAACGTGGCAAGTGGCAAGCTGTACTCTCTGCTCACTCCGAAATTAAAAAGACGAAATGTATATAAACACATTTAAATTGAGAAAAAATAACGGTTAACAGTATTTTAAGTAAAGTACCAGCGCTGATATATATACACTGGAACGCAAACGTATCTCGAAAAATTGAGAAAATGAGTTTTTATAAATTGAGAATCAGAAAAAAAATCGCAATTTTTTGATTTAGGAGTCGTGATGCTATAACGATATTTTTTGTTATACGACGTCGATAGTTCACGAAAAACACAGACAAATGCTATAAATAGAACTTTGCTAATTCAATATTTCGAGGTACGACAAGATTGCATTATAGCGTCGATATAATGATTAGTAACCTTCCTTAAAGCTTGACAGCTGTTATTATTATGTAAAAACTTACCGTCAATAGTTTCAAATACTTCTTTAGAAATGGTATTTGAGATGCCAACATAGACCCAAAAGAACGGCTGTGTATCTGTCCAGAACTTAATAACTTCCTGGGCCTCATCCGCATTCTGGGGGTAGAACAATTTAGCTCCTTCCAATTCACAACGTTTTTTGGCTTCTGCCCATGACCGATGAATTGTATGGACTTTATAGAAGTTATCAATCGATATCAAATATGTGTAGTCTTTCCGGAAAAATCGCTTGTTCACTTGACAATCTAGAAATAAAATTAAATACGTAAAATAGAGTAGGTAATGGTTATTGTAAAAGTTTAACAGTATCGCCGCATTTATAAATATATATCACAAATATACATCTAAGTAAGAATCTCCATTATTTTTCTCGTAAACATATTTGACTATTCATTGTATCTAGGTATCTTGAGATGCTCCTTTTACGCAATAAATGATCACCCGTCTTGGCTTATTGCAAAATGGTCACAAATTCCTGTGTACAGTTGGAAATACCAATAATAAAGGAGAGTACAGTCCATAATATACAATAATAAAGTCGGTACTTACGTATATTCGACACAAACACCGATATCATGAATAATAAAAATACAAAACTTTTTAAGGCGCTCATGTCTGCGTGGTACAAAGAATCGCTTACAAATGAAACAGGAAAAATTTTATTCAAATCACAATTCACTTTAACGCTACGAGACCTCTACTCTGCTAATAGCGGTTGGTAGGTGAACCGGTTCGTTGGCCAAGTTCGATAAGTTTGGATAACTATAAACAAGCTGATATAATTATTAAACAGCATCGCAATCTAAGTAAAATTGCAAAGATGTTTAAAGACGAACAAGGAAAAGGAATTTCTATACTCGCACTCGATTATTTTCAAACAGTATTACAACAAATGACTCAGTTGCATTGCTGGGAATTTGTTAAAGGAAACTTTTGTGAACTGCAAATTAAAGATGGTGTACGTCATTGACTTACAAATAAAAAAGTCAATGGTGTATATTAATGGTGTACACTACATATGTAGTGTTTGTGTGCTAAAATACTTCCTATCTATGTTAAAATAACACCAAGACGAGTTAAATAAACAAGTTTTTTTTCTATATTTTAGAGCTTTCCAGTCAATTATTGACATTTCTCATACTTTTGGAAAGTTGTTTTTAACATCACGTTCACAAATAAAGAAGGTCCTTTCTTCGCACTGCACATCATTGAGGTCTCCGTTGTACAGCATGGCCCCACATATTCTATCATCTCCTAAGTCAGGTTGCATGTAGCCCCACTTTGGATACGGTAAAGAAGTATCTGTAAATTGATAATTGTATTGAGCATTACCTTTGTATAAAATACCAAATACTGGCAGTTTTCTTTTTGACGAACCATTCCACAAAGCCAAGCCATTAAGCCAGTCTAGTGATAAGTAATATAATAATAACGCACACACTCAACATTGCCCCGCACTAGGGAAACCTTGTGTCGCTATGAAATAAATGTAGGCCATACAAATATTTCTCCCGGCCCGGGAATCGAACCTGGGAGGTCCCAGACACAGAGGTCTGCGTGGCAGTCCGGCATGGTAACCGTTCGACCACGGAGGCAGTTGTGTGTGTGTGAAGTGCGATATTCCCAACGTTCATCTACACCTCATCTACACTACAGCCAGTATTAGATTAAGTTTCCTTTTAGATTCTTTACTAAACGGCAAGGCAAACTAGTGGAGTGGCCACGTTCACACAAGACCTTTGCATGAGCCAATTCAATGCTCGTGTATTGGGGGAAGGTATTGACCCGGAAAATTAGAAATCGTTCTAATTTTATGGATTGTCTTTATCACTGGTCTCTCATGACACTCCATAATGAGTTGTCTCTATTTACACGACTCGCCACTAATGACTTGACTTAATGGATGGCTCGTCGATTGGCCCAGTGTAAACGGTTTTTTAGAAACAGAGAAAATATATCTTAATAAAGAAGCACATACCTGCCTAAATAATTTCTGTTTTCTGGATATTTCCATGGTCACGGGTTGACAGATGACAGCTTTATGTTCAATTTACGTTGCCGCGTAACGAAATTGCACATGGCATAATAGACTCTATGTCACTAACGTACATACTAGATACGAGACGGTAGCTGCGGGAATTCCCAAGACAGTGCGAGAATACACCGATTTTTTTACTCGTGTCTTTTATACGTTACACAATCGATACAAAAATTCGCCCCATGTATGAGTGATAATGTAAATTAAGCCTTAAGAACAGACACATTATAGGTCTTTCGCAGTAAACGACTACCTTCATCTCTATTCTAATTAGTGACAATCATTCAGTGAATAACCACGAATTTTAAAATCTATAATTATCTAAATGTAGCTGCATTTTTTAAATTTTTTGTAAGGCTTAGTTTAACACACCAATAAAAAAATTATTAGCAACAAAATATTGTTTTATCATAATCACATAACAAATTATCACATTATTATGAAAACAATTCATAAATACAGTCACCTGAAAAGTTGCAAATCGTCTAGATTTTTCCTTGACAACATTATACGTGGGCGCACTATGAGTTTCCGGAATGAATAAGAAAAAAATACTGTAAATGATCAGAAATGAATTTAATGTTTCTCAAAATATTATCCGTTAGCGTTAATGCACGTTTTCATACGAAACCATTGAACCAATTTTGAAAACATTTATGCCACTCCTCAGTGACAATCTCTGAAACATATTTTTCATACTCTTCGACAGCCTCTTCAGGTGATGAAATGCGTTGACCGCGTAACTGGTTCTTAATTTTTGGAAAAAAATAAAAGTCACAAGGTGCCAGGTCGGAACTGTACGCGGGATGGCTCATCAGGTCAACGTTGTTCACCTTCAAAAATTCATTTGTTTGTCTGGCTGTGTGAGAATTGTCATTATCGTGGTGCAAGATGATACGGCGTTTACGGTTATTTTTACGGAGTTTGTCAATAACTTCTGGCAAACAAATGGTCGTGTACCAATCACTATTCACGGTACAATGATTCTCCAAAGCAATAGAAGCCACGTCTCCAGTTTTATTTAAAAATGAAGCAATCATCTGTTTAGAGGCACTTTGCACGCGCGCCACTTTGGTTAGTTTCGGCCCATATGCCCGATTGCTGCTTTGTTTTGGGATTAACTAACGTAACTATAAATCCATGTTTCGTCACCTGTTACTATGTCCCACACCAAATTTGACGCCCCTTCGTTGAATCTGGTAAGCATGGCATTGCACCAAATGACGCGATCCGTTTTTTGAGCCTCAGTCAAATTGAGCCACACCCAAATGTTTGTATAGTATTGATTGTATTTGACTCATGCCTATGCCTAAAGATGCCCGAATCTCATGGTATGTCCATGTGATGCCTGTCTGTTTTGATCATACGACGCACAACATCGATGTTTTTGTTGTTCACAGCAGTGGACGGGCGACCATCACGAAATTCGTCACTGAGATTCACACGACCGCATTTGAATTCTGCAAACCAGCTATAAATAGTCGTCTTGCATGGTGCTTCATCGTCAAAAGCAGTTTAAAGCCAAGCAAAGCTCCGCTGGGCTGTTAAATTACACTTAAAGTCGTAGAAAATCATACTACTAAAATTTTCACGAGTTAAGTCCATGGTGATGTAGACAACCAATTTCTAAAATGACGCCATAATGTAAAAACAAGTGACAGTCAGATGAAACAAACAAATTGTATTGTACAGCCAAAGAGTTCCATTTCAAATGTTGTAATTACTTTTTAAATATTGTTTATGTAAGTCGCCAGTTCCGGAAACTTATAGTGCGCCCTATGTACGACTTTTTAACGTTTATTTTACCGGTATTTGCTTTTCTATAATTAAAATTTTAAAAAACCCTTTGGAAGGTACATTCTTAAGGTATACTTAAGTACTCAGTTAAATATAGGAAATGAAACTGTTTTTCCGGATTTAAATCGCGTAGGTATATTTGTTTTTTCAAACAAACCGACGTTTCGGGCTCTTTACAGGTCCCATGCTCACGGTTGACACTGAGTACTCAGTTAAAGTTCGAAGCTGCTTAAAATTATTATAGAAATTGATTATTTTTACTTACTCTTCACAGTTATCCAATTGCCGCCTATTTTAGAGAACCCTAAATGAATAGATCCCGAAGTGATTTCTTCCTTCTCGGTTATATTGGCCATTTCCACAAAGAAATCTGATTCAGCTTGACTATCTATTATTGCTAGGTAGGATTCTTCAAGCTGGCAAAAGTTGAAAGCGTCGATCCAACGCGCTGTGTTTAGGTGGAATTTGTAGCAACCACCTAGGGTGCCATTATACTTGTAATCTGAAATGGATTTGTTATGTACGTAAATACAAGTAGTAAAGTTATAGTTATAGTGGTGTTCAGAGCACAGGGGATTTCCTAATTTGAGACCACGATTGGTATGGTTGTCTGTAATATTCATTTATACGAGTATATTGAACACAAATTACCCTTTAATGGACATATGAACAGTCAGTTAGAGGAAGTAAACATCCTACAGCTCTATTTTTATGATGGTACAGTATAGGTATATTTTGGAACTGTTCAATAATTGAATAGTTTTTGGACATATTTCAGGGAAAAATAATACAACTAGGTGAGTTTGTCATTTGATCAGAACCTTAATTTATTGCCCTATAGCACTATTAAGTAATCTGTGCCTATCGCTACTATAGGTAAGTTTAACCATACAAAGTTTCAATAACAACTTTGTATACATTACGGGTAAAACTGGGTAAAACCCACGCTCTTGTCCTAGTACCTCCTACATACCAAACGTAGATTAAAGAATAAGTATGTAGGTTACTAAAACTGTCTCTGTGTGTTGAAATAAGTTCACGTTCTTCGTTTCCACTAGTACCACTGCCAAGTACCACTGGTAGTGGGCTTTTTGCTCACACTAGTACCATCTTCCAAAATGATGATTCAAAGTACCTACCTAAGACAACGGCTTACGCAAAAAATTGCGATCCTCTGATAACATGCGACCAAATGCATGTTATTTAGCTATCATCTTTTTAAAGGCCGGATTATAATAGGTTGTTTATCGTAGGACAATTGTGATACGTGTTATTAAATGTTTTATATAAATATTATATTTATATTATATATTGTATTTAATATTATATTTATACTATCTTAAATAGGTAGTTCGACATGTTGTCTATTATCTGAAAATATTATCATATATTTCGAACCATTCTCAAAAAGTTAATTATAATTTTACAATAATTAACCAGGTGATGCTTCATAAAGCTTCATTACGATTTGTTTACATTATTTATTACCTAAACTTTTGCAATATAATGCAATGTTGATACGATAACTATGTCCCCGAGGCGTGAGCCACCTTCACCCTACCTGCGTACAAAATGCATCTTCACGCCTCGTTTGAAGAACTCCCATATAGTAAGGGGAGGGAATATGTACACTGGAAGGGAGTTCAATTTGTTGACCGTACGATAGTGCCTAGTCGAGATACAACCGTCCCGAGCAGACTTCATTATTAAATGAAATGAGTATTTTCACTTTTGTAAATAACAAACCAGTCGGTTGGTAGATAAATTTGAAATATTATCGTTTTCGGATATTACCAGTTCAAAATTTTATGTTAAAGTATATCAAAAACATATTATTTATTTGTCAATTTACCGTTTTCTGACAGTGATAGAAATTATACATTTTTAATAATACCAAGTGACGAGACAAACAAGTCGTGCAGCGATAAGTCTCACGGGTCTCCCACGTGATTGCGAACGCCGATTACGCGAATGACGATGGTGCGAAGACGTTTGCGCGAAAGCTAGAATGCGCGATGTTTCATTTGCGCGAATGACGATAGCACGAAGACAGATTCGACAGATCGAAAGTTTTGTTGAAATAATTATTAATTGAAATAAAACTGTTACAAATTGTCACGTTCCCTTCCTATGTAAATGAAGGGACAAGAAGCCCAGACTATTGAAATATCAACTAAAACTTGCGAGCAGCAAATGAACCATTGTAGGGTTAACCATTCGGCATTCCAGCTTCCGCAAATTTGTCTTCGTGTATCGTCATTTGCGCAAATAAACTAACACGCTTTTAAGCTTTCGCGCTTTTAAACATTCACGCAACTGACCATTCGTGAAAATAAGACGTCGCGCATTATAGCTTTCGCGCAACCGTCTACGCACACGGTACGGTACGGCAGTGAACCTTGAAATGACTAATATATAACTTATACTTTAAGCATATCACATTATAGTTAAAATTTCAATGATAATCGTAGTTACGACACATTGCGGTAGACATAAGGATACCGAGCCGGCAGCCGCTGGAACGCCTCGGCAACCTTCGAGATGCTTCGATGATTTGCGCTTGCATACAGGGATACCGAAGGATCCCTTTCCATACCGTCCCGCCAATGGGCTCCGGGCCTAACCGGGACGTATTATGCTCACATTAGGCACTCCCAGATGGCCGAAATAGGGCCGGTTGCAGTATTTCCCTGGACGACCTCTTTCATAAGAAGCTCAACGGCTACTAAAATTATAGCAATTAGAAATCAATTAGCGGTAGATAACTACCGCCCATGAGAGAATTCGAAAAGTTGTGGTGGCAAAACCTTTCATCTATTGAAAATATTTTATTCAGAACTTATTACCAATGATTCACTTAACACTATAATATTATAGTCATAATTTGCAATCGCATTAATGCTCTTGAATATCAATTACTTGGGCTCATTAGTTAACGAATACTACGTGCTTTCACGAGTTCATGTGAAATTTAATTCGAAAGACGTTATCGTGACCATCTAATGAAACATGGTTGTTTATTAGATCATGTTCATGATTTTATATGGTGGTTTTTGAGAGTTTTGGATGATTCCAGATATAATCATTCTTGATAAACCCTTATGTTTATCATTTACCTCAATGTTATTTATGCTGGACAATGTGCATTTCTTTTATTTTCCTAGTTTTTAGAATACTACCTTTAACTATGCGTTAATTATGAAAATAAATGCTAAAAATTTGTATTTGTGACATTTACCATTTGTCGTTAAAACTTATCGTTACCGAAATAAAAAAATACGAATCGAATACGAAGTAGTCGAAAAAAAAAACTCCAAGTGACATGACTTTTGTTTCAGGGTTATCAATATCAATTTCTAATTGGTTCTAACATAAAAATATGAAAAACCTTTACTTAAGTGTGAACCTCTTAGGCTCAGCGGTTTGCGATGTGGGGGTCCGGGATTCGATTGTCGGTAGGATCAATTTGGGAAACGAACTTTTCCAATTGGTTTGGTATGGGTGTTGTGGGATGTGCCTCAGAGTAAATAACGTTGCTCTGGTACTCATTGTACTGGGAATTCCCTAGTTTGATACCAGGCAGTTGGTGTGGCTGGCTGGCACATATTTTTTTATTGTGTATTGAGATTTTCCGAAATTTCTTGGTACCAGTTCGAAATCTCTACACAGTACCGGTGTACTGCAATGCTTTTTGAATACGGAACCATAAAAATTGATTTAATTTTTGGTCATAATTACTTAGATCGTAGTTTTATGATGGAAAACAAGCGTACAGGATCAAGAGAACGTCAAGCTTTTAGCAAGGTTAAAAAAGTGTATCGCCACTGTGTATAACCGCTCTTAGAATCACGGTTGCTTTTTATTGTATACACATTCTGTAATTATGAAGGCTTTGGAATAAAATCACGTACGAAACGCAACACATACTTACCTAAATTATATGCATCGCAATCTTGGTTCCATTGCAACGAATCGAAGGGTTTTTTACATATAAAAGGAAAAGTTTTACTGCAGTGGGCAACAGTGCCCGTTTGATAGTAGGTACTTATCGTGGCACACTTCGCTGTCCCATCCGCTCTGGAGGAATCCTCAATAATTATGAAGTTGTACACCTCCGATAGGAGGCGTCCTGAAATAATAGAACATAAAAATCTGTTATTTCATGTATTATATGAATATACTTAAAATTATTATTACTTAAAATATATTTAAAATTGTGCAACTGTATAGAAATACATAATCTTCCATCTAGCGAGAACGAGAACCTCCTCCACCTTGCAGGTAAAATAGCTCAGGAACTCAACCAAGGACCCGAGGATGTTAAACAAGCCAAACGTTTGCCAGGTAGAAACGAACGCCCGGGACCAGTACAGATTGAGCTCATCACTGAAGAAAAACAAACATCGTGGTTGACTGCAACTAAAACCCGGAAATCAAAGATCACCATTTCCAAAATTCTTCCCTTACCCCCAACCTCTAAAGCTAATGAGTTCATCTCTGTATGTGAAGCCCTGACGCCTTACAACAAACATTTACTTTGGTCTGCCAAACAAGCACTTAAGGAAACTCATAGATACATTTGGATTAAAAAAGGAGTACTTCGTGTTAGAAAAGAGGGGGAAAACCAAAAACCCTGCATTATTCGCTCAGTTGAAGACGTAGAAAAAATAAAAACAAATAACTCTTAAAAAAGTTAGCCAACAGTAAGTTTAGTTAGATACTAGTTATCCAACAGTAAGCTTAGTTAAAAATACCTATTTTTAATAATACACATTATGAATATCTCTTTAGATGATATAACAGAAGTTTCTAACTGTGTAAATATAAAAGACTTTTTAGACAATATTCCTAATAACGTAATATTTTTATGTATTCATATGAACATCAGATCTATGATCAAAAACTTTTCTACGCTTGAACAATGTATCTACTCTTCATCACGAACTGTTGATGTAATAATGTTAACTGAGGTAAATGTATCTGATACCATTAGTAGTATTTACCAAATAAGGGGATATAACATGTACACTAAATTGCGGAAAAATAGTAAAGGTGGTGGTGTTATAATTTATGTAAACAATATTCACAACTTTCAAGATAGCAAATTTAACACACAGCACTGCGAAAACTTAATAGGACAAATAACTACACCCTTAAACTACACTGCATTTCTGTGCTGTTTGTATCGCCCTCCAAAAACTAGTAAATACTTATTTACTAAAGAAGTAGAAGCACTCGTAAGTAAAATAGACTGCCAACGAGACTTGTATCTTCTGGGTGACATTAACATTGACCTGAGTAATAATTGTCCTATAAAGCATGCATATAACACTTCCATGTACAACTGCGGGCTAGTTTGCGGGATCACTGAGTACACACGCATAGAACTTAGAAAAAATAAACTCTGCAAATCTTGTATTGATCATATCTACGCACGATCCCACTCACTAGACCTGTACACGGCGGCACTCGGAACTGTACTAGCCGACCGACCATAGAACCATTGTTGTCGCTGGCGTTGGTTCACTGCCTTGTCCGGCGAGTAGTAACACACTGGATGATTTTAGATACATTACTAAATTTGACAATAAAATGCTTGTTAAAATGTTAAATGAAATCGACTGGCAACCTGTAAAACAACTGATATGCCCCTTTAAAATATATAAAATAATTGTGGAAAATATACAAAAGTGCCATGAAAAGGCTGCAATAAGAATAAAATTATCTACAAATAAAAATCGTATAAATAATAAATGGATTTCCAACAAAATTCTTAAAGCTTGTGAACATAGGGATAAATTATTTACAAAATGGATTGCAGACCCTACAAATAAAATATTAAAACAAAAGTACAATTCTTCTAGAAACTATGCCAATAAAATAATAAATAAATCTAAAAATAAAAAGTTACGGAACGATATTTACATAAATAAAAATAATCCTAGGGCGTTGTGGAAAATTCTCAATGAAATTACTGGTAGGGCCAAGACCTTGGCTGATACTATTATATTAAACGCCTTGTTAAAGGGAGACACAACTACTGCTGATATTGCGAATGCATTCGTTCAAAAATTCACTAATAGCGTTAAAACCATTGTCCCAAGATGTGATACGAAACTACTCGACAAATATAAATATGTATCTACAGTTAATGTGTCTTGTAAATTTCAGCAGGCAACAGCTAGTACTGTTCTTAAAGAAATAAAGTCACTGAAAAGTTTTAAAGCTCCGGGTATAGATAACATCAGGGCAAGTGACTTAAAAATTATGGGTCCTAAAATAGCGGAAGCTATAGCTAGGTTGATTAATACATCTATCAAGGAAGGTAAGTATCCACAAGACCTTAAAATGGGGATAGTGAGGCCAATATATAAAAAGGGTAGACAAAATTGTTATGATAACTACCGCCCAATAACAATACTTCCTACCATTGATAAGATAGTTGAAAAAGCTATTTCAAAACAGATACACTCATTTTTTAAAACGAATAACGTAATTACAGACAAACAGTATGGATTCCAGCCTGGCAAAAGTGCTACACAGCTTCTCTCAAAATTTACTAATGTTGTCTATGAGCATCTAAATAATAAAGAACATGTTCTAGTAGTGTTTATTGACTACAGTAAAGCTTTTGACACTTTGAAACATGACACTCTCATTGAAAAACTTAATGAATGCGGTATACAGGGTCCACTAAATAGCTGGTGTCAAGATTACTTAAATGAAAGGTCGCATGTTGTCAAAATAGGGGAAGTTTTAAGTGAAAAGATGATGATCTCTGACGGCACAGCGCAGGGATCCGTCCTGGGACCGCTGCACTTTATTGCTTATGTTAACGACCTAGCCAATCTAATTAAATACTGTGAGATCTACCAGTTCGCTGACGATACATGCCTTATAGCATCTAACAAGGACATAAACGTAGCATTAAAGCATTTACAATTGGACTTTACATTATTGATGAAGTGGTCCCATGATGCTGGTCTTGCACTTAATGCTCACAAGACCAAATTAATGTACATTAGCTCTAGCCAAAACAGAACACCCCATAACTTAAAACTGATTGCACATAATCACACATGTCTGCATGCAAATCTGCACAACTGTACCTGTGTGCCTGTTGAAGTAGTCAATACACAAAGATACCTCGGGCTTTTAATTGATAATAGACTAAAGTGGAAATATCATATTAACTATGTGTGCGATAAACTACGCGCTATATTAGCAAAATTCGCCGTAGTCAAAAACAAAATTCCATTTTCAACCCTCCTGAACTTGTATAAGGCTTTAGGTGAAACAATAATATATTATGGACTTAGTAGTTATGGTAGAACCTGTAAATCACACCTTGATCCAATATATAGGCTACAATTGAGAATACTCAAAACAATTACACCTACAAAAATTAAAACTAAATATCAAGATGACTACCGGAAATTATTTACCCATTGTAAAATTATACCTATACACGATCAGGTCAAGTATATTCTTCTCGTGGAAAACTTCTTCGACCTAACTTTACAAAACGTTTTTATACCTGAAAGATATACTCGAAGCGCGTCAAAAATAAGATTAATAAAACCGAATTATAACAACGTATACGGAAAACAATCACTACAATTTCAAATACCAACATTAATTAATGAATTGCCTGAACAACTTAGAAGTGAAATAACGAAAGCTAACATTAAACGTAAATTAAAACAATATTTTACATTAGAATACTAAATCAATTGATAAGTTTGAAATATTAAATTAAAATACTAGTGTAAAAAATCCATCCGTGTATTACGGCCCCATGGACACATTTACTATCATGCACTGTGAAGCTGATGAGTTTCATGCTTACCCACAATTTTCTTTTATTTGTTAATTGTATTCTATTTAGTACTAGTAACATTCCATTTTTATTTATACATTTGTTTACAAGTAATTCTTTGTTAAGTATGTTTACATTTAGTTAATATATAATTGTTAATTTGTAAAGCCTAGACGGTGAACACCGGTGTACGGACAAACCTAAATTGGTTTTTGCTACACCGTTAAAGTTAAGTTTTTATTTGTATTTACTTTTAATTAATAATAAATAAAAAAAAAACAGAAATATATGTTAGCTTAAGCGCTCTGCACAATATGTCACATATTCGTAGTGTTGGGTAATTTCCCGAAAAAATTCACATAGAAGAAATTCGAAGACTTATATCATGTTCTACGTTTATATATCTTTTGAAGTTTTTTTTAGCAAGAATTACAAAATAAAATTGTGTAAATATTGCTGAATGTCAGTTTGCAAACCTTGTTGGATTTATTTTTTCAAGTTCTCTTGGGAGTCACCACACTTATAAACGCAGAATTGCATTAAGTCGATCAGAAAAAGTTTTATGGCCATGAATGTGAGAGGGAAAAGACGTTATGCGATTCGCATCGGTTCGTACGAACGCAACTCGATCTAGGTCAGCAACGAATCTACTCGCGTACTTCCTACGAATTTCATGGGACTCTTGATCCGCCAACGTAGCCGCTACTATACCTGGTGTAGAAAGATCTTGCCCGACCTGGGCAACAAAGTCGGAGGCCCACACAGGACACTCCTCCAGCGTGTGCTGGGCGGAATCCTGGTCCCTCACACATTCAAATACTCACGGAAGCATCCATGTCCGGTGCCCGGAACGGACGTTGGGCAGGATCGCGCTGATGGCGCGCTGGCGCGAGATCCTCGGCTGTTCCCGCCTCTCGCGCCACTTCTCGAGCGCGCGTCGGTGCTCCTGCGACCGCATTTACGGTGGCGCAGCTTCCCCCGCCTGGCGGAGGCGCGCGTAAATACGCGCGTCCATCACCGCCAGGATGTCCAGCGGGGGAAACCGCGCCGGGACAGTCGCCGCGTCAAAGGATACGGTGCGGTATCCTCGTGCTATCCTTATGGCCATGCGGCGCTGCACGCCATTGAGCATGACTCTGTAGTGCCTGACGCCCGTCAGTCAATGTGACTAGATGGGCGACCCATACGGACCACGGATTGCACCACCCCAAAAAGGGTGTGAAATTGTACTAAGTTAGTGAGTTGGTGCATAAGAAGTGCATAAAAGAAAACAATTGGCAAGTACCTTACGCCGAATGGCAAATCCTTTCACTAGTGATAAAAACAACGCCGTATAACACCCAGTTGCCCGTCAGACCTAAAATCCTACTGTGTCAATGTTTGCTTATGTGCAATGTGTTCCAAGTAAACCCTATCATAAACCATCAAGGACGTACATTAGATCTTGTACTGTCATCTACACTCCATGCTTTAGTTACAGAAAGCAATACTTTGTCGCATCAGGATCAATATCACCCTCCACTTGAAATTATGGTTTCTAATAACTAAAAAAAAAAGAAAATGAAACCTAATTTCAATTTGCATTTTACTTTCGACAAAGGTGACTACTACGCTAGATATAAACTAACGCCCGGAAGTAGAAAAAAAAAACTGAACAAATAAATCCTACCGGGTAATTACGTCGACTTGGTGGTTGATATCTTTAACTCTGTGGTTAAAAAGTGCAGTAGTTAGTAAATTTACCCTCCTGGTACTCACCTCCTCTTAAAAAAAACCCCGCTGAAAAGGATAAGTATCACAGAAGAAAGTACGAAAATCCTCGCGATTATGATACTTTCCATTGTTGACTACTAAGATGAAAAAATGCTATAGAGTTTAATTGTCTGTAACGGAAGGTGCGATATCCAAAAACGTTAAGGTCTTTTGGAGCTTTATAAATAATAATAAAAAAACCAAAGTATTCCAAAAGTACCACGCAATTAGGCAATATTACAGCATCAGATGATCCACGAATCTGTGACCTGCTATTACAGTCAATTGGTTCAGTATTTGATGATTCTACTCGCGTGGTGCCCACTGTTGCACAACAAATGTGTGAAGGTGTGCTATCAAACATAACATTGACAAAATATGATGTCACGCGGAAGCTGAAGGAGCTGGACGCCAGGTAAAGGGCGGGACCAGACGGTATACCAAATTCTTTAAAGAATGTCTCTCAACTCTCTGTTCCCTTACACATAATTTTTTATCTGTCGTTAAACGCAGACACCGCAGTTCCCGTCGACTTGGAAATGTGCACACGTAGACCCTGTACTCACAATATGTGACAATTACAGACCCCTTAGTATTTCATCACGTGCAGCAAAGGTTTTTTCAGTCTATCGTGTACGATTATATCTTCACTCAGGCGAGGTTGTCGCTAGTTCTTGTAGTACAACAACAAATGTTGCTGTGAACAGCAACTTATATATATGTTAAGGGTAAATCCACTGTGTCAAACTTACTCAAATACAAAAATTATCTGTGCTCAGCTTTTGCAGTGCATGAACAGGTGGACTCGATATATATACTGATTTCCGGAAGACTTTTGATAAAGTAAATCATGCTTTGCTGTGTCAAAAATTTTCATGGTACGGTATCCACGGAAACCTATTACGTTGGATACGATCCTACTTCATGAATCGTAGTCAATTAGGTTGTTGTAAAAGGGTTTTAAGTTGGCTCCCAAGTTAATCAAACCTGCCGTATCCCAAGGTTCTCACCTAGGATTATTGTTTTTCAATATTTTCTTTTCTAGGCTGAAATGCCCATGTCTACTATATGCTGACGATCTTAAGGTGTTCACAACCGTTAAAGGCTCACTGATGACTGCATTGCACTGCAGAATAATGCCATTTCAATAGCAGACTGGTGCAAACAAAATCATATGTATGTACCTTCACGTTGACAAATGTTTTGTAATGAGCTTCACTAAATTAAAGGACAAAAAGTACTCCTTAAGTATGCAATCGGCGATCAAACACTTCAACACAAATCGGTTGCTAGGGACCTGGGCATATACTTTAATGAATAACTTACCTTCAGACATCATTATGAGTAGGTACATCGTGTCAAGTCATATAAACCTTCTAGACTTCGCAAGAGCTACTAAAAACTTTAAAAGACCTTTCACTTTTATCAACCTCTTCAACAATCTCTTAAGATGTTTACTTGAGTACGATTTTGTTAAATGGTCCCCTTGTGATGAATTGCATTCCAACCGCATAAGCAACAAACCTCTTAAAATTGTCTTATCCAGATCGGGTCTGGGTCGCACTGTTGCAACTTACCGAAAGAGGTTGGCTAAGTTTAGAATTTGTTCACTACGGACCCGACGTAAAACACAGGACATTTTTCTTTTGCATAAGCTCATACACGGTAACCTTGTTTCTCCTACTCTGCCGTCTCACATTAACCTTAACATTAAACCTAATCCTCGACGTCCTAAAACTTTCATGATAAATGTTTATCGAAATAATACATCCTTTTATAACCCTGTGACTAGAATGTGCCAAACCTACAATGATTTACTAGTATCAGAATCTAGAGGTCACATTGATGTTTTCGACAACAAGCTTTGTAGAATTCGTACCAATCTTTTCAAATACTAGGACTCATCTTCTCATTAGTACCGTCGAATTAATATCAGTCTTTATTCACATTAGTTTTAAGTTTGTAATCTCACTTTTCCCCTCTTTTTTTGTAATCGTTATGCAAATGTGCTTTCACTTCGCATAATAACGCTGTATGTATGTACAAGATTAGGTCTACATTCTAGATTAAGACTAAATTGTATCTCAAATATGCAACTCACTGAATGCAAACTGTTTCGTACATCCAATAAAATAAAATAAAATATACTTGCCATCAACAGTTTTAAATTCTCCATTGCCCAAAACATCATGGACACCCACGAAAAATAATTTATGACCATTATTATGCCGACCAAGTTTTAACACTTCGTCTGCCTCCGCTTTACTCTCGGGGTAGAACAGACTGGCCCCCTCTAGTCCACATATGAGATCGGCCTCAGACCAATTGCGAGGTTGCTGGTGCACTTTGTAAAATCCGTTGGATATTGGCAGGTATATATAATCACTTCTAAAGTACCTTTTATGTTTTTGACCATCACTTGTATGCCTGAGACTTAATAGAATCGCGAGAAAGGTTAACACTCGCTTTGAGCAATGCATTTTTATAAGAACTTTATTTTTAAACAGTGTAGCGATACAAAAAATACAAACTGCTTACGCACTCGTAATTGAGTAAAGCACTAATCTTCATTATTGTGTACAGGAAAATATATGTATGACAAAATGTATACCAGGAAAATTTTTTGTTGAATGTAATAACTTAGTGCCTATTTCTCGAATCCAAAGTGTTCAGTAACATTTGATTTAGGAAATAAAAACTTTAAAGTATAATAAAGTATCATAAATAGTCGAAAAAACAATTTCATTAAACTGATGTATTTAAAAATCATTCTTTATGAATAACACTTATTTCAATTCATTTAATCTCCATATTTTATGGATGTGAATTTTGATTGATTTGTTTGCAATATTTTATAGTGCTGTACGTATCGTAATGATTCTATCAAGGTATCAATCTATAAATAATAAAAGAAAGGAAATAAAAGACAAGATTATCTTTATTTTATCTTGAGGTGTAAGTTTATTCGCATAACAATATTTCATACAAATTTCCTCATTTTGTACACACCTTTTCTTGGTTTGTTTTGTAGTTATTATCTTTTATAAAAGTTGACTCTCTAAAATTTTAACATATCGTCATGTCTGTTCCCTATATCTAATTCGCTTCACCACTGCTGTTAATAAGAACAGAGGAGACACTAAGGCAAAGTATACGGAGGAAATAACAGTCACTGTGGAGTGATGATAGCTTTAAGAAATAATAATATACATAATGTGTTTGGGTAAACACGGAATGGGCCTTGGGGCGTAATGCCAGCTTTCCATGTCGTTTGACGTGGCACTACAGTACAGTGTTAAAGAAACTTTGCTTTTGTGCTGCACCTCGGCTGCAGCCGCGGTTGCTGCTGCGGCTGCGGCAGCGGTGCAGTACTCGAGTATGCAAACAGCAGACATTCGTGACACTATCGACATTGCACAGATCATACTGGTTTTAGAGGACTCGCGAGCAGTCCACGAGGCTGCCAGTTACACCTAATATGAAAATTCGTTACTAAATAACAACTAAATCACTTTTAAATCAATTCAAAATGTACATTATTCCTCTTATTCAAGTAAACAAATCTAGTCTGCTACAAAAAAATTAGCAAATTTAAATACAAAGATCACCTAGTCCTTCTATTTAAAATTAATCACTTAAGTATTAGAAAACACAATAGTGAGAGTGAATGCAGCGGTGCGCCGTCGTCGGCGCGAGCGCAGTTCACTTGTGATATCGTTATTATGCCTTTCAGTGTACATTCAACGAATGAATAACATAGCGAAAGATATTGCGTTGACACATTAAAACTAAAAATTGACTGTACATTTATATGTAAATATTTGTACATATTGCACTCTGAAGTAACAAAATTATTAAGAAAATCTGTCGAAACGAACAATATATACGCTGAACAAAAATATTTCAGTAAATACAAATTTAAAGAAATTAGCAATCACAATGTTCGTAGCTCGTACACTATTCTAAGTCCCTATGGCTTACAAAAGATAAATACAGAGGTCATTTACAAAAAATATACTTCTACCCAAATAATATAAAAATAACAACAGCCATCTGTACTTTCTTAGATGAATAAAATTAAACATATGTCAAACATATGACAATAGAATCTAAGGTACTTATGTACAAGTTTTACTGGACAGAGAGGAAGTGTCACTTCCCGGCAGAGTCCATCGTTAGTTGACTGGACGTGTCACGTTTGGTCACTACAATACTCAGTGCTTTGATTCGTACGTAAATGAAGGGCAAAGGCATGAACAAGGGCTATATGTAGGTCGCAACAGCTCATCTCCCGTGCTTTCCTGCTTCTACAGAACCATCTTTCGTCACATTCCGACCTTCCCGGTGCTAAGTGTGCCGTCTCTTTCACATTATCATCTCAACAAGCGATATAAACTCATTATCATACTAATGTTTCATTATCAGCTAAAGACACAAATTATATTAGGGTATGTATCTCATTATTATTACTTTCTCATGATTATTCATTACAATACTTAATAAATCTATTACAATTTCGAAATTGAATAATATGTATCAAATACGACTGGCTGTGCACCGACGGAAGCCGAAACTATTAAGCTATTAATTATGATTTCTAAGCGTCGAATGATGTATAACAATTACTTATCGAATGGCAGTTACATTTGTCACAAAACTTAGATGTGGACCGTAAGCACACTGATGATATCGAACGTTTTCGTGGTAGCTTGCTTACGATCACATCTCAGTTATAAGGCATAAGTATCATAGCGTAAAGTTAATATGTCATGACAGTTCATGACTAACACTACAGATCGTAAATGAAATATCAATAGAAACCTGCTATGAACTCGCACATACAAGACCGCACCGTGTATATACGTTATTAATGGCAGTGTGTTTATTCCGATACGCCCCTAATAGAGCAGAGACACTTAAGACACTCCAGTGACGTTTTGTGCTTCATTAACTATTTTAGAATCACCTATCACTACCGTAAAATTATATAAATCGAAAGATGTAAAGCGGACTAGCGCGCGCTCCGCGGTGCAAGCCCGATCGTCTCACGCCGATTATACGTATATATTAAGAAATGCATTTCCAAAACTCCAACCATACGTATTATGTAAATTACACCACACATAATGGCATGTAAAGAAGACACATTCAACACGCACCAAACAGACGCCTTATATTTAGTTCTTAATTGCATATTGTATGGATGTGAGTGTCGGCGAATGACAATGTTACACAGATTATGAACGAATGAGGCGATAATTGGTGTTCTTAAAGTTAGCTAACGATGCGCGACCGGCATCAAGGCTTCGAGACGGACACTACAACAGGTGTATAGCGTCGAAGAGCTGCCAAGGGGTAAGAATGGCCAGCGACGAACGGAAAACACGCTTAATGATTAACAACGCTTATGGGTAATTGAGATCGATTAATTTTAGCTTCTATATACTATGATATTCCACTCATCAACAATGTAGGTACGCAATACAGGTAACGCGAAATAAGGCATTTCGTATATTGATTTAGAGTTTTGTATCGGTAGTTTACTTACTGTGATATATTATTAACCATAGTAGTCGTACGCGTGTACTTTGTTTTAGTCTTACGGTATGAGGTCGAGGCAGATCTGGCGTCAGTGGACGATTGCGCGCATGCAGACTATCGACGAAACGAAGTCGTCTCCTACACCAAATATTGTTCCCATAGAGTAAGCTCGGCCAAATAGAGTTACATCAATTTTCGTACCTGAATACTGGTAAATTAGCTGCCTTTTGTACTTTTAAATAATAATCGTGAAAGGAATGTAACATCTAAAGTTTTATTATATAAAAACTTAAGTATTTATCAAATAAATAAACATTCTAGTTTGGAAGCAACGGTTTATGGGTTCTACGCTACTAATTTCTCATCTACATAACAGCTGCCATAGCACATGCACGCAATGAGTACACAGTTTTTATTCCAACTGATATCACTGGGACATTCAGCCAAATCTGCCTCTAGTTTAAATTACTGTATAAGATACCTATTATTTGTTCACACTGATATTTATATGGACTCTCTTCATGTGAGGTTTTTATTATACTTGCAGCATGTACAGGAATATCATCAGGTGCTTCATTAGCCCAATGCCGTGGCGTTCTGTATTACATACAAGTATCGGTGTGTAATCAATCACTAAAAGGAGTACTCCTTTTAAGACGAAGTTAATGCTTTTATGAAAGCTACTGTCAACAGTACAATTTATTTTTCTAATTGTTAATAAGACACACTTATCTCAGCCTAAGAAAGATAATTCAAAGTGCTATAAAATGTAATCACAGCAATAATAAATTATAATTATATTCGTTTGTAGAGCGACGCGGGCACAGGACAATGGAACATGAATCTGAACTAAAATCGACAAAATACGATAACAGTCTGACATAAACTACATATATGTAAACAACGTAAATCGCGCGAAGCTACAATCGGCGACGATCGCGGCTTCTGCGGCGACCTACTCATCACAATAGAAATCGAAAAGGTTAATTCAACGTTTCGTTAATTTCGGTAAATAAACATAACTATCATATTTTCACCCAATAGAAACATCTCTTCATATATTATTTTTTTCTTTTATAACTCTCATAGTGTATGTACGTATGTGTAATTTAGGAGGTGTACTTATAGAAGTCTTATTTTATTATACAGTCGTATCCGAGTGACCAACCCAATATCCAGTCGTAAACGAAATAAAGCCAGCTCGCGTCAGCGCCGACTAAAACGAGGGAGGTCGTTTCGGTCGGCGCCGGGCCGGTAACGATCAACACTAAATATATTCTCCAAACATTCAACAACACATATATTCACTAATCTCTCGCACATCATCGTCGTCGGTCACCGAATACGTATGAGTACAGCCGTACTCCCTTATGTGTTAAAATTTGCACATTATAAATACGTTCATCACGTCCGACGCAGTGTCCGTGCACTTCACTAAAACTAGCCAGTCTATGAGCGTTCTCTCCTTGGGCGCGGCGCGGGCCGGTGGCTAGCCGCGGGCGGCGGGGTTGTGCTCGCTACGCAAGGGCTAGAGCTGCGCTTGCTCCCTGACGGGTGCATTCCCCGACGCCACATCCGCCACGTCCCAGATCTCCTCGAGGAACGGCGGCAGCTTCCTGTTCTTCAGCTTTAGCGAAATGCACATGTTGGAGTTCTGCATGCCAAGGGTGCGCAGCTCAGCCAGGATTGAGAGGACCTTGCCATAGATGATGGGGCATCGCGGGGAGCCACTGTTCTGGTTCACGATGTATGTTCTCAACGTGTTCAGGTAATATTTCTGGATCTCTTCGACTAGCTTTGGTTGTTCGAGGCCGGGCCGATCTGGAATCAAAAAAGATAATTCATTCAAATAAACCTTAACCTTCCGAGAGATTGGTTGTACAGTGAAATTTCTGTATAAATAATCTTCTACTGAAAAATTATCTACAAGCGTATAATACCCGAATATAGTTCAACATTTCAATATTGTATTACCTAATTAAGTGTGTATGTAAATAAATATGTACCTGAAAATATAACAATAGCAGTTACTAGTGCATACTGAACGTTGTCCATGGTCAAAGAGTGCATGCAGCGGCAGAAGTGCAGCAAGTCTTCGATGACATAATCCATGCCCGCCTTGCGGTAGTTGTCGCGGGTGTATGCCTGATTGTTTGCGAACAGCACACTGTCCGTTTGTACGTCATACCGCCGAGACACTCGCAGCATCATTACTTCACTTGAGCACGCCTGAAAAGTGCGATAAGGGAAATTGTAACAAAAACTTTTCCTTGAAAATGATAGGAAGTAAAAGCAAATTTAAAACCGAGAGAAAGCTGTATGAGCCTTAACATGCGGCTTGTTTACGGCGCCGGAAACGCGCGTCATCTGCGCGTATACGCGACGCACTGTAGTGAATCGAATCAAACGCGTGCTAACATCGCATTGCAAGCAAGAAGCTTATATACTCCACTGGAGTTTACACTTAGAATTTCATGTAGTTGCTTCATTTCAAAAGACTAATTGAAATTAACGAACAAAACTAAAATTTAAAAACTATATTTTATCAAAATGCGCGATACATTCGCGCGTCGTCGGCGCGTTTCAGATGTACAAAAAAATGTCCAGACATGGAGATTTTCATTTACGTTAAAGATCTACCATGCACGAAACTCTTTGCTACCTTCTTGACGCGGACAGCTAAAGAGTAGAATTTTCCGTGTACGTTATGTTCTCCGATAACTAATACCTTCTAGACAAGTATAATCCATCCACGACGACAATGATACTTAACATCACGTTAACTTGTGATCAACTGCTTGCAAAAACGTAAGTAACTTAACAGGTCAGCAAAAAAAAGAATTATCACCTTAAGCAGTGTTATTTGATCAGGCTGCGAGATCTTGGAGAAGCCAGGCAGACCCTTGGCGAATTCCACGATGAGCTGTACTGTGAGGATGGTCATCTCGGTAATTTGACGGAATGGCATGTCTGTCTGCTCGTCAATATTATCATCCTGTTGCCAAGTCTGAAACGGTCACATACAAGTTATCTAGATAATGAAAAGTACAATTTATATAAAGATTGTTTTTAATTTGGGAGTTAAAAATGTTTATCGCATTTAATCGCATTGAGTAAAGATTTACATGAGCTTTGATAACTACTCGTAGTTGCAAAATCTTATTGGGTGAGTGAGATCTTGTTTTATTGTCATAAATTCAAAATGCATCCCGTCTCCGACGTGTAGGTTTCATCAAGATGTTCCGTTTCGACAGTTCGTGAAATAAATTGCACATAATTTAAAAAGACAGTCGAGCAAACCTTTTGGTAGGAATCAAGCCGTGATCTCCTAAGAGTCGAAACTACCTCAGCCCGAATTAAAATTTTGTTCCGTCCTAATACGGTACATTTTAGTTAGGTCGAGCGGCAGGAACACTGTCTTTATTTCAGAATAATTTTTTTACAAACGACATTCTTTTTTTTTTTCAAAGCCATTGATACAACACTGTCAATGGTATGCGGATTCAACCAAAGTCATTTGAGGTTGTATCGAATCTTAAATAGGCGGCTATCACTGTCTGCATAAATATAGACATAACTTGTCTTGTCCCTATAATACAGCTATCATTCACTTGACACAATTATCTTAATAAGTTTATTTACAGTAAGTAAGTAATGGGTTAAAATCATATACCTGCGTAACCCTTTTAAGGTCCTCCTCGGAGGGCTGCTCGTATCCGTCTTGGTACCAAACGAGTCTCGCGATCAGGAACTGCTGGTTGGTGGTGAGCGGAGGGATGTTCTTCTGCCGATTCTGTTCCATTAGCTTATCCGAGAGGAACCGCGGGACCACTTCGTGCTGCAAACATTCGAGCTTGACGTACGAAACCGTACAATTAATATCTTATTACAGATACTTCATCATTCGGTCACTGATTTTATTAAGCAGTCGAGAATAGTTAGTTGACTTAAGAAAAATGTTGTGTATGTTTTAACAACAATAAATATCAATCCAAAAAAAATATATGATATTGAAACAAGTAGTTGAGTGCTTAGAAGTAGAAGCATTAAACTACTTACAATCCTGGCAGCTTCTGGGGGCGGGGGATCGCATTGCATTATGGGCGGCATGTGGTCATCTACTGTCGTCGTGCTGACTGGTAGCTTGTCTTTTTCTCTCTGGGCTTTCTTCTCTTTCCTCTTTATCGCACACTGGGTTTCTGGGACTACGCACTCGGGCCTCATGCCCACAGCCAAGCATTTCTTTAACCGGCATTCTTGACATTTCCTCCTCATGTACATGTCCATTTCGCATGCGTGTCCGAATTTGCATATGTACACTGCATTCTTAGTCACACTCCGCCTGAAGAAACCTGTAAAAAAATTACATATCACTTTAATAACATTCATTTAGTGACTTTTATGTTATCTCGGATAGACATAGATAAAAACAAAAGTCAGAATAAGCAGAGTTCGTGAAAATGAATTCGACCGATAAGATAGTGTAGGTGTGACGGTTGCCTGAAAGGCGACGGTCATTGACAGCTAGCTATAGGCACAGCTGTCGATACCTGTTCTACGATACAAACAACACAGGTTCGGTGTAATTTTGACGAACAAGTTACAAGTTGAATATGGCTAGAATAAGGTAATATTCAATAATATATGGGGAGAGTGACGTGTGGTTATTGTTAGTGTACGTATGGATGAAGGTTGTCGGTTTGTTGTCCGATAGGGCTCGAGCAGACGTGGAGTAGACACTCATTGTGACGTTATGTCTCGTGTAGTCGGTTACAAATGCAGGCGGAGATCGTATGAGTCGCGAAAGGGCACAATGCGCCAATTCAACGCTGAATTAGTTCGCTCGTGGGCGACGAGCGAGGACTGTCTATCGTCCACCAACTGCCTGCGATGGCAGGCACAATCATACGTTCATGAGTGACTTAAATTAGCTGATTACGGTCACACTGACTGTCTTTTCTACAGTTGCATCATAACTTTTACACGTCTAGTCTTGGTGATGAAAAGGATTTTACATAACTACAGTATCTGAAGATGAGGAGAAAGAAAAACAAAGGAATTTAAATGTTAAATATGTGATCGAAACAAACCTTTGCAACCTTCACATGTGAGCGCGTTGTAGTGGTACCCAGAAGCTCTGTCGCCACAAACGAGGCATAGCTCCTCCTGCTGACGCGGAACTGGACCCTTTTTCTGCCGCCGCGCGTCGCCATCTGTACTGCAGCCATTCACACTCGAAGCTGGTGATAATTCTTCTCGACCTGAAGCAAATAACACAAGAACGTGAAATTGTGAACTTACATAACATGTCTTCAAACAAACGAAGTTTTCTTTAAATCGCTTATGAAACAAGTTACGTCTATAACAGCACAACAGAGAAACTCCTCGAAGTATATAATAGTCTAAAAACTCCATGTCCAGTTGCAGGGACAAAGTTAAAAAAAAAACATTACTTTTAGATAAAAGCAACTGCGCAGTAAATGAGCTTGCGAGTCCGGTGGCCCACCGGCGCCCGCCGGGTAACGAGAACGTCTAAAATCGGACGCTATAAAATTTGCATACATTTCATGAACCATTTGTCGAGTCGGCAGACGAGTTAAGATCGTTTATTTTATGTTTTTACATTCAGTACGAAGCTGTTATGACGAAGAGATGTTTTCGACTACGCGTAAGTGATTTTCGGCAGTAGCTTGAACGTTTCCTGTACAAACAAAGGTGCTAGTGCGCTCGTCCGCATACTGATGAGACAATGTTGGTTTTGGTATTCGATGCGTATGGGGAGGTTGTTGCGCGATGTGCGATGGAAATGTAATCGGCAATCGTCAATAACCCAGTCGGGATTCCATAAAAAGCAAGGAGAGTAGCGGGGAGTTTTATGACTCGTTAGATAGGAATTGGTTGTCTCTTAGCTAGGCTTAAAAATATTTCACGTTAAATTCTTTGAAGTTAAATATTTTCTTTTAAAATGATACCTATACCAAAACTAAAAGCATTTTTTATAACAGCAAACAAATGAACGACAAATAAAGCTAGACGGTGTGAAGGGATCTAAAAGTATTAGCGAGCAAGAGGAGGGTTCATTTAAGCCACTCTTGTCATTAATTTTATTTACATTTTATTTTGTACATTAGTCGTCGGCACGGGTCGGTGGCCGGCGGGCGCGGCGAGCACCTGCGTTGCGCAACCTTCCGAAATAGCTGCTGCCAAAAAACTAGTTCCACGTGGGATCAGAGCCAACTCAGATGCCGTCTCGCCATCACCATTCATCCGTCCATCGTAAGAGGACCCCATCTTTCACAAAAATATTAAACCCGCTCTTCTTTCTGTCATTTAAATATATTCCTTTTGATTCATCTCGCACTATTAGCTATTCTGGTGATCTCAATTATCAGAAATAGCGTCCAGCGAGCCGGCGGCCTTGTTTTCTTTTACGGATTGAGTTCTTTATATTATTATCATTATAGTTTGTATTAAAATACAGAAGCAGATTCGTGAACGCGTGTATAAATGTAAACTCTATAAAATGCCTCAATAAAGAGGTCAAGTGCGTTGTTTTATCAGCAATGCTATTTGCAGCTGAATGGAACGCCTTACTGCTTGATAAATATAAAATGCGACATCTTTTCTTCTACACTGACCTGCGCACGGCGCTGAGACGTGATCGTCACCTTCACATTTGTCTATATTACCTACAAAACTGACATATTATAATGTTAAAGTTCATTTAAGTAAATCATGGTCGTTTGCTCAATACTAGCACTTCTCAGCGCCTAAACGGCTGAGGTCGAGTTTCAACACAGCTTTTATCGACGGCGGCGGCGGGGCGTTGCCACCGAAAACGGTTATCAAAGATTTTACACTGTGGCATATACAAATATAACTTTATATTATTTCATCTGTTATTTAATAATGGTGGGCTTATAAATCAATGAAATGTATAAAATAATTGGAGAAAATTATTAAAATAATGATTCTATTTTTGTTACGGGGCTTGCAGCTATTAATTATTAGTTATTATTTAATTAAGTATTGTTTGTTTGTCCAAAAACAGTATAATTTAAAAGAAATTAGATAAAAGTAATTATCCTGTAGTAAAGTAATAAAAAGTTATAGGTAATTGTTGTAATATTAGATTTATGTTATCATGCTTATAAGCATAGCTATAAATGTGTCTATTATTGTAATGACTAAATATGGTACATTATCAATAAATTTGTTTAATGGGTTGGTAAGAGAAATTTGATTATGATATAGCTTTCCGTGAAACACCTATCTGTCTTGGTCACCGTCCACTATTACTGCCACTTATCAAATCATTGCCCATGAAAAAGAAAGCGCTAATCAAAAGTTGAATGCACGGATGACCGAGTCAGTGTGTTATTACGTCTCAGCTGTTCAGTGTGTTGTGCTCGCGCTGTGGAAGGTCTAGTTCGTGGCGCCTCGACAAGCTTCGGCCATTGTCGGTTGCGTGAGAGAGAGCCTTGACGCGGAGAGCAACAAGTGGGGCGCAGGCGCGAGCGCGAGCGTCGTCGACCGGGGGCAGCGTGCGGCCTTGACTCTTGCGCAGCCCCTCTTCCCCCTCTCGCCACGCTCACCGCGCAGCCACATTATTTATGATAGCATCAGAACTCGAAGCAAGCTCGCAGTTCTACCAACTAATAATAAACTCGTTTTTCCTCTCACGCGACTTCACTTTTTTTGCAAAGTATAATTCTTTTCAAGACGCTGGAATATTAAGCTAACTGCTAAAAAGACAGGAACCAAACACGACTCTACAGAGGACACAAATCACTAAAATGTGCACGAGAAATCGCATTTAGAATTGTATTTTGAGCTCTAGGTAAAATCTATGTAAAATAATCTTTGAGTAAAAATCAAAGCAACACCCGTGCAGGCAAGTAGGTATATAGAGTCGATTAAACAATACACAAAAACTTTCACTGTGACCTCAGCAACAGCCGCGTAATCATTTCGCAGGCGAGCCGCGTAAGCGCAAGTGAAAGTCGCCCAAAAGTAGGTATTGCACAAGCCCACACTAGGCACACGTAATTGAAATTTGGGGGCGGCGAAAGTACCCAAGCCGCTTAAGGTGTAGCACCATGACATCACATTAATCAGGGTTTAAGGAAAACGATCTTGGAATATGGTAATAAGTTAACTTGTGTTATAATGTTTAATGGCGAACGTGTATGCTAGCGTGTAGTAAACTGCAGTGCCATTACAAAATATATTCGCTGACGCGAGTCGGTTTTGTTTGAACCGACGAGCAAAAAGAAAAGTCGTTAAAATCGAGCAGTTTTCCACGACCACGCGCATTTGTTAGTACGATACGGTCTGTGCACTGCTCGTAGAAAAAGAGTGCATAAAAAGCGGCATACACGTGATCGATGCATCGACTGGGCGGAGATCGGATCACGATGTTACTTTCTACAATACTTTCTAGCAAGAGATGTGGGCCGGAGCCGGCGCAACTAGAGCGATCGGTTTCTCCATGAAATAGAAATCGCAATGCGGTGAAAATCGTCGTTTTCACGTCATACGTCGTAGTGGAAAACTCGGCCTAACGCCTACTAAGTATAACAGTAGTCTTGATTCGAAAAAAAAATGATAACTATCAAATGTCACATGGTTTTAAAAGAGAATAAAGAATTATTTAAGAATATCAACTAGTAGGTACTTGTGATAACTGCTGTATTTTGTCATGTTACAAAAAAAACTCATAAGAACTGTGTTTGAAGAGGAAAGTGATGATAAGGGATCCAAACTCAGCGGACGCACGTGGAAGTGTTTATATCCGGCGGAGGACGTTAGAGGGCCACACATCCGGGCTAGCATGTGCCGAAAACAATCTATTATATCTATGTTTCCCATACAAACCACGCCTAACGTTTTCAGCGACTGAATCGGTTAGACAGATTTCCTCTTCATCATCCATAGTAATAAGAAAATGTTATTTTATTGACGTATAGTTCTTCTAAGCGAAAATTTGGAATGGTTTGTTTAGTTTCATTAGGCTGTTAAATAATTGAATAATCTCACTAAAATATTGTCAACGGACCACTAAACTTGACAAGTTTTGTTACCAGGCACCACACTCGTATATTAGAAAGTGGTGTTCAGTTATCACGTACGCATCGGGCGGTGTGTACGGGGACGTAATGGTCGAGGTATCTTGTGTAATGGATATCCAAACCCTGTGGGGGATTGTTCCATTTATTGACAGAGTGCTGCTTTATGTCAGCCCTCTCTTTCCCATCGCTTTTAATAGGTAAACCACATTTTGTGTCTCTGTCAGTTCCCCAATTTAGTTAACCGTAGCTTGCACCCACGCTCTGGCGCGCCTTTTCGAGTAAACATAGAATGAGTAAGTAAATAGAAAAGGGAGGGAGATATAATTAGAAAAAATGCTCTATGGCGTCTGTAATGCATATTTAAACGCTTTGATGGCGAGTCTGTAGTCCACCACCGACTATTTAGAATTTGTACAGTCGGCAAAAGGTAAATTTATTGAAAACAAACAATTCTTGATTATAAACAACACAATAAAAACATATCCATATTTCTCCGATAATGTAAGTACATTTCGTCTTTACATTACGTAATATTTAAACGTAAATGCACCCAAAACACTCTTCAAAAATGCTTGAGACACGTAAACGAAAACAAGGATAACGTTATTTTATTTATTAACCTCATTCTGTAAAATATAGAGCCAAATGTAGGCCAAGGCGCATTTTAGATGACGTCAGCCCGTAATCATCTGCCCAGCGGTTATAAAGGGCCAATTAAGAACGGACCACAACTAAGTCGGTCGATGACTCTTTGTTCCTCAAATAAGGCAATTAATGCTTACCGAGACACTAGGTCGACCAATGCGATTGCATTCGCGAAAACAGACATAATACTATTATGCAATATGGATAACTTATTAAAATTATTTGAAAAACGAGAAACAAAACAAATGCAGATTACGTACAAAATTTCATTTCACGTTTACTTGTTTTATAACGTAACCTAACATAACAAGATCTAGGTCAATAACACCGATTCTGTAAAGAGCTGAATCAACGGGGAAAATCCGATATAGTCGCAAAGTAGGTCGCCGACGAGGAAATGTAGCTAAAGCAGCAACTCTGCCGCGACTCAATTGAGTAATACCGCCTTATTGTATTTTAGCTGAATGAGTTGTCTGTCATATTTCGATGTCACATATAAAGTTATAGCTGCAAATTTCTCGGTCCCACGCTTTAATAATGTCTAT